AAGAGCGAGCGATTTTAACTGGCACGCCCCTAACCCTGATTTTCCCTTTATGTGCCTCCCCACTCCACCCTCAGGTCCGGCCTGACGCCGAACATGATTAAGCAGAAAGAGCTCGAGAGAAATAGGAAAAAAATCATAACCGAGAGAGAGATATAGAGATAGAGAAGAAGGGAGAGTATGTAGGGAGAAATACAAATGTTTTGATGCTTTGCAAGTCGCTCATTTGAACGACGAGACTGTTTTCTCCTTTCACGTGTTGACGACTAATTCTTGGAAGAGTAAAAGTCAAGCATACTGTACTTGGCGCGGGTACAGAGCTGAAATGTGGGTATTCCCTTTTTGAAAACCAAAATGTCCCGGAATTTTAAGTCGTTGATTTAGCAACATTTCATTTCTGGAAAAACATAACATCAAGCTGGATGAAATAGATTCTTTGAAGACATTTATTAACAGGATCCTGATTAATATTTCTCTATCTGATTAATCTTTATCATCCTCTACACAACCTTGATATAATTAAACACCACGAAAACTAATTAAACGTTTGGTTATCTGACTACATGCCTATCAGTTGGAAATCTTATAATCTTTCCTTTCCTTTTAGTTGCAACCCAGGCGCCTCCTTCTCCAGTCATTGACTCCATCATCTCTGACGACCTCGTGACCTTCGCGCCCTCTGTGCCTCCTCCTGGGCTCTCCTCTCTCCTTTCTTCCACGTGTCCTTTGTCACTGCTTGTTCCTCGTCCATTGCCTGTCTTCCCTCGCTGGCTGTGCTTCTCCCGCCGTCGTCAGTTCTGTCGCCTTGTGTCCCGTGCGTGGGACTGTGTTCTCCCGTCATTGCGTGTTTTTTCTTGTCATTGTGTTTTTATTTCCTTGTTATTATGTTTTTTTTTCTTTTGTCATTATGTTTTTTTCTTATTTTTTTGTTTTTATTTCCTTTATTTCCTTATTATGTTTGTTTGTTTTTTCATTATTTTTCCCCTTATCATTATGTGTTTTTTTCTTGTTATAATATTTTTATTATTCTTGTCATTATATGTTTTATTTTTTATCCTTTCCATTGTATTAATTTTGTCATTATGTTTTGATTTCCTTGTCATTATGTTTTTTTTTCTTGTTATTATATATATTTTTTTTCTTGTAATTATATTTTTATTTTTCTTCCTGTCAATACATTAATTTTATCATTATGTTTTTGTTGTTCCTCTCATTACGTTTTCTTTCTTCCAATATTCATACCAGGGATTTTCATAATCAAATGAAAACGAAAAGCATTTCCCACAGTTATTTTTCTATGTTACAGTTACAATTATTTGTATTTTTCCCTACACACTCTCCCTTCTTCACTATCTTCCCGCTTTTATTATCGTCTCTCTTCCGTGAACAATGTACTTGTGATTTGCGAAGGAGAGATTATTTTTCGATCTTTTCAACTCAGGATAGAATAGGTTCAATACGTTGTAAATTACAGTCATCTTGTTCTGAGGATTAATTCTTATTTTTGAGCGTGTTAGTGAGGGTAAAGGTTTTAAATGTCATTCTTGGGTAATGAAATGCAGTTTAACACTGTGAGAGTTAACATTTATTGCAGTTAACAGTTATACGTTGCTTAAGTTATAGACTGATACAGATCATGACTATTTGGCTCAATAAATGTAGACGTCTCCTGTATGTGTGTATGTGTGTGTGTGTGTGTGTGTGTGAGTGTGTGTGTGTGTGTGTGTGTGTGTGTGTGTGTGTGTGTGTGTGTGTGTGTGAGTGTGTGTGTGTGAGTGTGTGTGTGTGTGTGTGTGTGTGTGTGTGTGTGTGTGTGTGTGTGTGTGTGTGTGTGTGTGTGTGTGTGTGTGTGTGTGTGAGTGTGTGTGTGTGTGTGAGTGTGTGTGTGTGTGTGTGTGTGTGTGTGTGTGTGTGTGTGAGTGTGTGTGTGTGAGTGTGTGTGTGTGAGTGTGTGTGTGTGTGTGAGTGTGAGTGTGAGTGTGTGTGTGTGTGTGTGTGTGTGTGTGTGTGTGTGTGTGTGTGTGTGTGTGTGTGTGTGTGTGTGTGTGTGTGTGTGTGTGTTCGTGCGTGTCTGTGTGTGCGTGTGCTTCTTTTACATTACAGGTCAATGTTTATAGACTTTTTCATGGCCTACATTTCATTTCAAGTTGGGACAGCATGCCCTGCACGCCGACCATCATTTTTATTTCAAAACTATATACATAATCTCTGGTTAAAATCAGTGAAAATAAAGAGATAAGAATGATATAATGACAATAATGATAAAAGATAACCACGATAATGATAAATAATCCTAAGAATGATGGTTCAATTAATAATAATAATGATAATAATGATAATAACAAGAAATATATAATGGTAGTAGTAGTAATACTATTAGTAATAGTAATGGTGATGATAATTATGATAATGATGATGATGATAATAACGATAATAATAGTAATAATAATACTACTACCACTACTAGTAATAATAATAATAATAATGATAATAATAGTAATAATAATAATAATAATAACTATAATAATTAAAAGTAATAATAAAAATAATAATGATAATAATAATAATAATATTGAAAATAACAATGAAAAGTGAAGGAAAAACCCTAGTAAGCTGCAACCTTTTAATTCCCCGTCAGACGAAACAAAGCCCCAGATCATCCACTAAAAAACCTCAAACCCATTTCCAGACAACCTCCTTAAAATTGTTTCCGAGGAAGAGAATGATTTTCGAAAGTGACGTCTGCCTTCCAGCCTCCTCACGCCGGGACCACGGAGGGCGTGCACACCCAGAGGGCGGCGCTGCACGTGTCGAAGCAGCACTTCTCCGACGGCCCGCAGGAGGAGTCGTTGAGGCACGTCTTCGGGGCACTCCTGCCGGCGTCGCAGTCCTTCCTGAGGGTCGGGCAGGAGCCGGCGTGGACTGGAGGGAAAGGGAAAGGGCTCATGGTATAACTTAGCACTTGCATAAACAGCGTGTTTTGTATTCTTTATTGTTTGATTGTATTTTTATCTGAGAATTGTATTTGGAGCCTTAACTTTGAAGGGAAAATGCCATCGTTTCTCCCACATTATTTAAATATGAATTGATTCTTAAAATGCAGTTTGTTATTTCCGTGAATATTTTCGCACTTGAGGAAAAGGATAAAAAGTGCATATATATATATATATATATATATATATATATATATATATATATATATATATATATATATATATATATATATATATATATATATATATATATATATATATATATAAAGGACCCTGCCTTTGTCTATGATAAAGTGATAATCTGAATGCATCTATTTTCCGGCTTACAAAGGATAATCTCTGTCTTATCCCGAGCCTGACTCACACCACAAAGAGCATGACGTCAGAGCAGCGGCGACGACGTACCTGACCCCTTGCCGGTGAGGTGGACGATGAACCCCGTCAGGCCAGAAGACCCGACCACGCCAGACCCGGACCTCTGGCCGAGCGAGGAGGGCCTCTTGACCCCGTGGGACGCGTAGCCCGAGGAGGATCCGGAAGCCTGGCCGCTCGAGGTGAAGGCGAAGAGGGACCCCTGGGAGCCGGACGCCGAGAAGTGGGCGCCGACCTGTGAGTCATGGCTGCCGCCGGAGGAGAACGGGTTGCCGGTGGCTGCGTGGCGGTTGTCTGAAGGTGAAATCTGGGCGCTCGAGTCAGACTTGAACTGGCCATCTGCGGCTGAGTCGTACTTGTCGAAGGATGAGGATTGGTCTTCTGTTGCTGAGTCAGTGCTGCCAAGAACTTGGCTGTTGATAGATGTGAACTGTGTGTTCGATGAGTCAAAGTTGTTAAAAGGAGAAAACTGGTTGGATGTAGAGGAAAACTGGTTGTCATAGTCATCAGACGAAGAGTGTTCATTGTCTGTTGATGAGAACTTGTTGACTGAAGACGAAAACTGGCTGTCTGCAGTTGAGTCTGATGAGAATTGGTTGTCTACTTCATGGTTGTCAGAGGAAGACAATTGGTTGGTTGTGGATGATAACTGATGTCCTATCGACGAAAATTGGTTGTCTGCAGCTGAGGCATCATAATTAGCAGATGATAAAAACTGGTTGTCTACAGGTGAATCATAGTCATCTGACGAAAACTGATTGGCAGCGGAAGAAAACTGACTTCCTGGAGACAAAAACTGGTTGCCTCCAGTCGAAAATTGATTAACTGTATCTGAGTTATCGCTGTCAGACGATAATTGACTTTCGTCTGTGGAAAATTGGTTGCTTGCAGTCAGAAATTGGTCGGCCGACGAAGTTTGGTCAGAGTCATGGTCAACAGTAGATGAAAATAGATCTTTATCGTCTGTATAGCTGTCTGTTGAGAGAAGTGGGTTATTTGCTTCTGATCCATGGGTATCTGGAGCATGAATATCAGTAGAAGAGAGCTGGTCATTCGTAAGTGGGTCATGGACGTTCACATCAAAATTTTGTGAATCAGTAGATGGAAATTCAAAAGATGTAGCTGCTCCTTGGACTCCTGTAGTTAAATCTTGACTGTCAACAAGCAAGTCATAGTCCTCATCGACTGTTGAACCAAACTTAATAAAAGCTGTACTGTGAATACCGGTGGTAGGATCTTGGTCATCAGTGATTAACCCATGGTTGTTGCCAGACGATAAACCATGATGTGCGGTGGATGAATCTCTCTCGGTGTCTTCGTGGAATCCCCCAGTTCCCGCAGTTACTCTGTTGACATTACCCTGATTTGAATCCGATGTCGCAGAAGCTGAAATAGCTAATGTAAGTCCAAAGGATGGTTCTGTTGTACTAGGACCAAGAATGTCATAATTGTGTCCAGACTGTGATTCTTCTCTGTCATGTTGCAAATCATGGATTAAGTGTTGCCCTCCAGTAGCAGAACCATGGGTGTCACCGCGATTACCCTGGCTTGAATCTCGCGAATTTGAAAGAAAATCGTCGTCTCTATTGTTGAAATCACCAGAATTTTCCTGTACATCAGAAATAGAAGTAAAGGTACCTTGGTGGATGTCAAGTGCTGCTTCCTGTGTGTCGTAATCAGCACTGGCACCTGGAAGGTCAGTCTGGAAACTCTGATCCTCAGTAGTAATAGAAGGACCGAGAGCAGCAGAATGGAGGCCAAAGAATCCATGCGTTTCAGCAGGAGAGCTGTGGACATTGCTTTGCTCGTCTCCAATAGTTCTTTGAACACTGGAAGGGCTATCTGGCACCAGCTCAGAACCTGATGCCAATTCTCTTGTGTTATGGGTGCCTGATTTTAATGCATGTATATTAACAGAAACATCAGAGATCCCAGAATGTGTGTTTGGTTGTTCACTGTAGGAAGATTCCTGGGTATCGTAATCTTGATTAAGAGAGAAGCCAGTATTAAACTGGAATTCAGGTGCTGATGTCCCTGAACCACTCAATGAAAAATCAGACTGAACACCAGAAGAGGGTACTTCGACCTGCACTGAAGAATCGCTTATTCCAACCTGGAATTCAGTTGATGGTAGGTGAATTTCTGGTGCAGGAAGATCGCCAGCAGATGAAGGAAAAGGTGGGAATGCTGGTTTTGTTACTACAGGGGAAGTAGACAAGAACGTAGTAGAGTCATCAGTATGATAATCATAATCAAACTGGGAAGCAGATGGTGAAGCTGGTACGTCACTTGAGATTGGTGCTTGAGTGCTAGAGGAGAAACTGTTAGTGGCACTTTGGTATTCACTTGATGATCCAGTCTTTAAAATGGAACTACCGGTGCCTACTGCAGATCTGTCAGTGGCACTTGCAAAATGATTTGTGTTGGATGGGAAGCCAAAGCTAGAAGTTTGAGTGGTGTCTTGGAGTCTGAAAGAAGCTTCCTGGTTTTCGGCATCAGAAACATCAGATTTCAGCAGAAATTCAGGTTTCTGAGCCTCCTTTGTTTGCTGAACATTCAAAAAGTCTGTAGAGATAGCACCAGAATCTTCAGTCTCACTTTGATAATCGAATGAGGGTTGCTGTAGGCCAGTTGATGGAGTGTCTTGGGTTGACTGGAAGTCATATTCTATACCTTCAGTTCTGGAATGGGAATCTTGGGATTGTTGAGCATCAGTCAAGACGTGTTTGTCATTCTGGTGTCTCTGTGATCCAGTTTCAAGTTGAATAGAGGAACCCTGTGTCCCTGTAGAGTGATCGAAATGATCCTTCTGAAATCCATCTAAAGGTAAATCTAGACCACTAGGAGTGACAGCTGTGACAGCCTCCTGAGTATCAGGCTGAAAACTCACAGTAGTCGTCTGGAACTGAAAAGATGCAAAGCCAAACTCTTTGTCATTTAGCAGTTCTTGAGAATTTGTTGCTGATGTGTCCTTACCAGAAAGTAGTCCACGAGTACCAGCTGTTGATATTTTTGGGCCAGGTTGTGTGATCAGGTCTTGTGGTGTTTGGCCGGAAGCAAAGTCGGCAGATTTCACCTTCGTATCATCTCCAAACTGAAGATGAGAAAATGACTTATGAGTGCTTCCTTCTGGAACAAAGGTTGTGGACTTGAAGTACGCAGTGGACTCGGTAGCACTTGACGCAGCAGGATCATCAGTGGTAAAATGGACACCAACACTTGATGGAGTAACCGTATTTAGGTTAGAAGTGGTGACGATGAATGATGGAGAATCTTGTGTGTTTACCGGAGACCCAGAGCCATCGGGTCTAACATCGGCAGAAGAAACGCCAGCCGCGAACTGAGACGTTTGACTTGCTTGACTACCATGTGCGTGTGAGGGAGATCCTTGGCTGTTGGCAGAAGAGAGCTGCGTGCTGGACGACGCTCCCTCGTTTCCGACAGAGGATCCTTGAGCGCCGGGGACGGGCACTTGACCCCCGGCGAAGAGCGAGTGGAAATCAAAGGGGAATTTGCTTCCACTGTTCCCAAAGAAAGCAGCTCCGCCATTGGAATTGCCTCCAGAGAAGAAACTGAAACGGAAATAATATTAATGATAAACTTGGATTATTTTTTATGAATACAGTTCATGATTATTTTTTAATAAAGTCCATTTCTGACCCTTAAATAGAACTTCTAGGTATAGCAGGTCATTTTTGTAGTTTATATTTATGCAAATAAATTAAATGTATACATTAGATGCAATTCCACATTCAGCTGCTAAAGAATATGCTAATTAGTATTCACTTCACATGTATTAATCAGCATCAGAGTTTCTGCTTATCAAACTTCCCACGAAAGCCCATCAAAACCCACCCGGAGAAGGACGAGGACGACGAGTGGTCCGCCGAGGAAGACGACGAGTTAGAGGAAGAGTGACTGAAGTTGAAGCCGCTTCCGGTGGAGGTGTAGTTGCCCGAGGCGGAGTTCTGGTTGGAGGACGAGGAGGAGTTGGACGAGGTGGAGTTGGAGTGGAAGGAGAAGCCGGGCGCGGGGTGTGGCAGCTTTTCCTTGGGTAGGAAAGTCGGCCAGGCGGAGCACGCTGCCACCAGCGCCAGGGTCACGGTGCCCACGCGCACTGCGGGAACACACCGAGCAT